CTTTTTGTTATATAGAATGTTTGCCAATCCCTGGTTTAGACATGTATCTTCACCTATTTACAATCTTCAAAATAATCTCTGAAGACTATTGCCAGGATTATCGATAGGGTTTGCAGGGTCTTACCAAGACATGCTTTTGTTAGTCTGGGAAGATCGTTTCTCTGTGACTCATTCTTAAGAAGGCGCTTCATGAAACCAGGATGCAAATTCTAGCTGAACACATTTATGCTCTTGAATATTGGTGAGTGTTATGAGACAATAATGGGGAAAGCTTTTACTCTAGGGTAGTGGTTCTCATTCCTTGTTATATTAGGAACTGAGGAGCTTTAAAACAAATGAAAGCAAAATTGCTGAGGGTGAAGCCTAGGCATTAAGATCCCAAAACCTCCCCTGGTGATTATAATAAAGTTAGCAGCCCTCACACGTGATTCAAAGCGGGGTTCTATGACTGTGTCCTCCAGGATTCTCGGATCCTTTCTCTCCAAATAACCCCCAGCCTGGAATGGAACCTTCCTGTGAAAAAAGGCGGAGTCTGCATTTCAGTTCATATTGCTACCCGTAGAGGTCACTGTGCTCAGAGAAATAGTCATCTGGGGAAAAAGTGATTGTTCTGTTCAGGATATGTGGAGCAGTATTTACCGGAACTATTGGGTTATGCCCAACACCAACGCTACCCCAGGCATGGCCTCTGGTCATGATTATTGATTCTATTAGGTGCATATCAAACAACTGTTAAATCTGATGGGTTGATGCTTTTATCATTATAAAATATCTAGTAGTAATATTTCTTGTTTTAAAGTCTATTTTGTCTGATATTAAAATAGCCACTCCAGCCGAAACCAGTTTGACTCAGTGGATAGAGCGTCGGTCTGCGGACTGAAGGGTCCCAGGTTCGATTCCGGTCAAGGGCATGTGGCTGTGGGCACATCTCTGGTGGGGGGTGTGCAGGAGGCAGCTGGTCAATGTTTCTCATTGATGTTTCTAGCTCCAATCCCTCTCCCTTCTTCTCTGTAAAAAAATCAATAATATATATATTTTTAAAATAGCCATCCAACTCTACGATGATTACTATTTGTATGGTATATCTTTTCCATCTGTTTCAGCTTATTGGTGAAGATAGGTATATATAGTTAGTTACTAGATTTTGCTTTTTAATTCAGTCTAGCAAAATGTTTTTGGGGTGTTTAATATGGTTGGATTTATAGTTGTTATTTTGTTGTTTTCTGTTTCTTTTTGTTTGTTTCCTTGAACTGCCTTTTTTTAAAAATATATATTTTTAAATATATCTTATTGATTTTTTTACAGAGAGGAAGAGAGAGGGATAGACAGAAACATCGATGAGAGAGAATCATCGATCAGCTGCCTCTTGCACACCCCACACTGTGGATGTGCCCGCAACCAGGGCACATGCCCTTGACTGGAATTGAATGGGACCCTTTAGTCCCCAGGCCAAAACGGTTTCGTTGAACTGCCTTCTTTTATAATATCTTATTATATCATTTTAGCTCTTTTGTTTATCTTTTATTTTTATTATGTCCTTAATAGCTGCATCTTAATTTATTATAGTATATTTTGGATTAATATTTCAATAAAATACAGAAATTTTGCTCCAATATATTTTCTTTTTCTGAACTTTCCTCTCTAGTGCACTTTTTTTTTTTAAAAACATATTTTATTGATTTTTCACAGAGAGGAAGGAAGAGGGATAGAAAGTTAGAAACATTAATGAGAGGGAAACATCAATGAGCTGCCTCCTGCACACCCCCTATCGGGGATGTGCCCGCAACCAATGTACATGCCCCCGACCTGAATCGAACCTGGGACCTTTCAGTCCGCAGGCCGACGCTCTATCCACTGAGCCAAACCGGTTTCGGCAATGCTCTATTTTTTAAAATACATTTTTATTGTTTTCAAAGAGGAAGGCGGAGGGAGAGAGAGATAGAAACATCAATGATGTGTGAGAATCATTGATTGGCTGCCTTCCACACCTCCCACTGGGGATGGAGCCCACAACCTGGGCATGTGCTCTTGACCCAATCAAACCTGGGACCCTTCAGCCCGCAGGCCAGTGCTCTATCCACTGAGCTAAACTCTAGGGCCTGATGAGTTACCGTGTTTCCCCGAAAATAAGACAGTGTCTTATATTAACTTTTTTCTCCCAAAGTTGCGCTAGGTCTTATTTTCAGGGGATGTCTTATCTTTCCATGCGCTAGGTCTTATTTTTGGAGGATGTCTTATTTTCAGGGAAACACGATATTTTCCTGTTGCTGTCAGGAAGATGCTGGGCTCGTATTGGAGAGCACAGTAGATCCCGGAACACACCCTATCCTTGGTCTATGTACGACTTGAAGGTAAGTGAAGAAACTGAAGTTTTCCCTGGAGGTTGTTGAGCGTCTTGGATATATAGATTGATGGTTTTCATCAAATCTGGGAGGTTTTTCCCCAAAAAATTATTTTTTGAAATATTTTCTGTCCCTTTCTCTTCTCTCCTTTTTGGACTCCCATTACATATATGCTGATGTACTTGATGTAGTCCCACATGTGTCTGAGGTTCTTTTCCATTTCCTTCAATCTCTTCTCACCTTTTCAAATGAAAACAATTTCTATTAATCTGTCATCAAGTTCTTATTTTTTCTTCTGCCATCCTGAATCTGCTTCTGAGCCTCTCTAGTGAACTTTTAATTTGTTGTATGCTTCACCTTTAGTGATTTCACCATAAAATTATGTTCACATGCCATACTGAACATGCCTCATAACTATGTAATGTCTTTTCTCACGCACATTAAAGTTCTCTTTTTGTGTGTGTTTCATGAAAAAGAATAGACTGGTTGCCACCACAAAAGATTAATTTCTCTCACATCTTATTTTCATCAGACTTGTAGCTTGACAATCAAACTTTGCCTCTTTATTGTCTTCCGTAAACACAATTAATTAAAACACCAGTAATTTCTTTCAGCTGCTCTAACGTTGAATATCCTTATTTGGGCTACTCAAGGCGAGGCTCCTGGTAAAAACAATTCTATTTTCAGAACAGAGAAAAACAAAAGTACTTTGCCTTGCAAGTGAGAAAACAGAGGCGAATTAGTGAAACTAGATTGTTTGCCCTGAAGTAGATGCCAGAAGCAAAGTTAGTATTAATATTAGTTCAGGGCTCCCAGCCGTGTCAGTGCAATTCTACGTCATCACATTGCTGTTGGCCTTGTCTCTCCCAGAGACGGCGATATCCCCGAGGGAACATATCGCATCTCAGACATCACCTGCTTCCCTTAAAAGACCCAGTAGAGAACTGTGTGCAGAATAGGTACTCAGAAAATCATGCTGAAGTGAATTAAAAAATAAACACTCCCTTTGGTTTATTGTGGCTGCTAAGAAAGGGGAGCACGATAGCCTGCCCGTTAGGTGGCTTTCCTCTAGGAAGATGCTGGGCCCGTATTGGAGAGCACAGTAGAACCCGGAACGCACCCTCTACTTGGTCTATGTATGACTTGAAGGTAAGTGAAGAAACTGAAGTCTTTGAAGGTACTGGGCTTTTTATTTATTTATCTACTTATCTATTTATTTATTTATTTATTTATTTATTTATTTATTTATTTATTTTATTGATTTCAGAGGAAGGAGAGGGGAGAGAGGGATAGAAACATCAATAAGGGTAGAGAATCATTGATTGGCTGCCTCCTACATGCCCCACACCAAGGATCAAGCCCACAGCCCGGGCATATGCCCTTGACCGGGAATGGAACCCTGACCTTCTGGTTCATAGGACGACACTCAACCACTGAGCCACACCGGCTGGGCAGTGTAGAGTTTTTTCAAAATTTCAATTGTGCCCTAGCCAATCTGGCTCAGTGGGCAGAGTGTCGTTGGCCTGTGGACTGAAGGGGCCCAGTTTGGTTCTGGCCAGGGGCACGTGCCGAGGTTGCCAGTAGGGGGCGAGCAGGAGGCAGCCAATCAATGATTCTCTCTTATCACTGATGTTTCTCTCTTTTCCTCTCGCTTCCTAAAATCAATAAAAGTATATTTGGGAGAAAAACATTTCAATAGGTTGCTAGTATATAAAAGGTATATTTCTTTAAAAAGATGATTCTACTCTTCAGGAAAGGAGGGAGCCCCAGCCTCATCTACATCAGATACCATCTGTTCCGGGTGCCATGTGCAGGGCTCAGGAAGGCCCTCCTCACGTGGGCACAGCTCCTGACTCTGTGCTTCCTTCCTTCCTTCCTTCCTTCCATGCTGCGGCTGGGCTGTGCTTCCTCAGGTTACTTCAAAGGCACAGGATCAAAATTACAGGCTCTTTAAGTCACTCCGTGTCTAAGGCTCAGAGACGGGCAATCACTCAGAATAATGCTTTTTATAAAAGTGAATCTGGGGAGAAGGGCTGGCTCTCAGCGATAGGGGTCAGACCCCGCTTTGCCCGTGAGCAGTGGGATGCTCTGGAGGGTACCAGAGGAGCAAAGGCTGACTTTGTTCCTGGCTGTGGGCCGTCAGGTGGTTCATTTCGCTTCTTTCAGCCTCAGCTCCCTCACTGTCAATCATCTACGCTGGGCAGAGAGGTCCACCTGCCGGCATGTTGAATGAACACATGTGACCTCTGGGAACTCCAAAGGGATGCTCAGGAGCAAGGAGGTCTGAGGGAGAGGAGGAAGACAGAGAAAAGGAGTGAGCGTCCGCTCCGAGAAAGGAGGGGGGGAAAGTAGAAAAGAAGGGTGGGTGTGGGGAGGAGAGATGGAGCCCGCAGCACGGGGTCTGGGCTAGGGCGAGGGCTTGGATGATGTGTGGTCGTGGGTTCTCATAACTACACAGAGAATAGAACTGCCTATTAGAGCCCGTCATTGGAAAGGCGATCAGTATTCAGAGGGGCTGTCGCGGCAGCTTCCAGTTGTGTGATTTTAATTGGCAGGATCACTTTTAAAGCCTCTAATCGCCATCCCATCTCTGAGTAGGAGACAGGCTGCTGCTGGGCTCCCGGCGTGGCCCTCGAGCGGTCGGGTCTTCACACGTCCTTAAGCCACTGAAAACCGGAACCAGGTGGTGTGGTCGTACTCCTCACCGGGCCTCAGCAGCACAGAGGGGAAGTGGGGCTGTGAGGGGGAGAGAACACAGGTTACACCGTGCCAGCCCGGACTGCGCCCTGACCCAGCCCATTGGCAATGGAAGAACTGTTTACCACTGGCTGGCCAGCGTGGCTCAGTGGTTGAGCATCGACCTAAGAACCAGGAGGTCACAGCTCAATTCCCAGTCAGGGCGCATGCCCAGGTTGCGGGCTCGATCCCCTGTGTGGGGCATGCAGGAGGCAGCCGATGGATGATTCTCATCATTGATGTTTCTCTCTCTCCCTCTTCCTTCCTCTCTGAAATCAATTTAATATATATATATATATATATATATATATATATATATATATATGTAAAATCAATAAAAAACATACTTAAAAAAACTTTTATTATCGGTTTCCTATGAGATAAAGAATGAAAATCAACCACATCACTAAGCACACTTGGTAGCAGCAAGACTTTCTTGAAGGAAGCAGCGTGTTGACTTATACTCTGGTGCAAGCTGCATGCATCTTTTCCTAGGCTGGTGCTTTGCAGAGCATCCACTGCTCCAGGAAACAGCAGGAAAAAGTTATGAGGAAGCAAACAGGAAGAGAAGACACGAAGGATCGCCTTAAAAAGTGTGGCTGTAGAAAATGAGTAGGCATTGATGAGAAACGTGAAACGGAAGGAAGGCTCTGAAGGTACAAAATAAGGGGTATGTTTAAAAACATGTCAGTGCCATGCTAGTAACCTGGCTCAGTGTTTCCCGTGTCTATCATGACTTGGAGAACACACGTGGACTTTTGACTCACACAGACCTGAGCCACGACCTCCGTGCTACTGTGTGGCCTTGGACACACCGCCCCCTCTCACAGGCCAGCCTGTGGCCTTACCTGGTTGACGGCGTCGGGCCAGTGCTGGGTCTCCAGGCAGAAGCCGGAGTGCCTGGGGTAGACGGCGCCGCTCTTGCCCTTCAGGGTGCCGTCCAGGAAGTTGCCCGTGTAAAACTGGACGCCGGGCTGGGTGGTGTACACGTCCAGCACCCGGCCGCTTCCGGCGTGATGGACCCTGGGGACAGAGCCACATGGAGGGACAGGGACGCGGGGAAAGCAGCTTTGAAAGGGGGGTCGGGCCCAGCCACAGCCGGGACAGGACATGTGGGGGAGACGGAGTAACAGCATCCTGGGCGATCCCCACGGCCTCCCCGGTGAGGCATTGGCGGGTGGTTTTGAGGACCCTCAGTAGTGACTTCTCACCTGATTTTGGTTTCTCTTTGGGACGGACGAAACAGGTTCACCCCACCAGGTGTGGTGTGTGTGTGTGTGTGTGTGTGTGTGTGAGTGTGTGTGTGTGTGTGTGTGAGTGTGTGTGTGTGTGTGAATGTGTGTGTGTGTGTGTGTGTGTGTGTGAGTGTGTGTGTGTGTGTGAGTGTGTGTGAGTGTGTGTGTGAGTTTGTGTGAGTGTGTGTGTGTGTGTGTGTGTGTGAGTGTGAGTGTGTGTGAGTGTGTGTGTGTGTGTGTGAGTATGTGAGTGTGAGTGTGTGTGTGTGTGTGTGAGTGTGAGTGTGTGTGTGAGTGTGTGTGTGAGTGTGTGTGTGAGAGTGTGTGTGAGTGTGTGTGTGTGAGTGTGTGTGTGTGTGAGTGTGTGTGTGTGTGAGTGTGTGTGTGTGAGTGTGTGTGAGTGTGTGAGTGTGTGTGAGTGTGTGTGTGTGTGTGTGAGTGTGTGTGTGAGTGTGTGTGTGTGTGTGTGTGTGAGTGTGAGTGTGTGTGTGAGTGTGTGAGTGTGTGAGTGTGAGTGTGTGTGTGTGAGTGTGTGTGTGAGTGTGTGTGTGAGTGTGTGTGTGTGTGAGTGTGAGTGTGTGTGTGAGTGTGTGTGTGTGAGTGTGTGTGTGTGTGTGAGTGTGTGTGTGTGTGTGTGTGTGTGTGTTGGGGGCAGCCAGATTGGAGAGAGACAAGTTTAGGGTTTTAGGGTCCTGGAGGCGCTGGGATTCTTGCTCATAAGGAGCGGGAGTGACATAACCAGCCGTTTTTTGGAAGACACGTTTCCTCCCTGGGACGAGAGCAGGCTGTGCTCGTCAGTCAGCTCCGTCCTACATCTGCTGGGGTTTCTGTCTTTTGCTTCCAAACCAGGCCTCTCCCGAGGCGAGCCCCACCTGGCCTGGGCCTCCCCGTCTCTCTGAGGAGTAAAGCGTGCCCACCGTGTGGCCCACCAGGAAGCCAAAGGGAAGGCGTTTTGGAAAGAGGCGGTTGGGAGGGAAGGCAGGGTCTCCTCGGTGCGGGCAGGGCCGGAGGAGGGAGCAGGGGGCCCCGCGGAGAGAAGCAGGCTTGATCTGAAAGAACACAGCCGGGCCCTGACTGGTTTGGTTCAGTAGATAGAGCGTCTGCCTGCGGACTGAAGGGTCCCAGGTTCGATTCCCATCAGGGGCATGGACCTTGGTTGTTGGCACATCCCCAGTGGGGGGTGTGCAGGAGGCGGCTGACTGATGTTTCTCTATCATTGATGTTTCTGGCTCTCTATCCCTCTCCCTTCCTCTCTGTAAAAAAAAAAAAATCAATAAAAATATATTAAAAAAAAAAAAAAACAAAACAAAAAAGAACACAGCCGGGACCTTGGGCTGGGCCTCCGTGGGGAAGCAGGCTTTTTAAGTTCTCTTTCTCTTAGAGTTTGGATTGTTTTCTCATATAAAAATCCACTCGTTCTCGCCGAAACCGGTTTGGCTCAGTGGCAGAGCGTCGGTCTGCGGACTGAAAGGTCCCAGGTTCGATTCCGGGCAGGGGCATGTACTTTGGTTGTGGGCACATCCCCGGTGGGGGTGTGTGCAAGAGGCAGCTGGTCAATGTTTCTCTCTCCTTGATGTTTCTAGCTCTCTATCTCTCTCCCTCCCTCTCTGTAAAAAATCAATAAAATATATTAAAAAACAAATTCACTCGTTCTACACACTCATGGATCATGTGCTAGTGGCAAGCACGGCCTGAGGCAGAGGCAGAGGCAGAGGCAGAGGCAGGGGTTCCCGAAGCTGAGCTGGCAGCTGGGGCTCAGGATTAGCGAGGAGCGTGTGCCCACACACTGCCTCTGGGGCTGAGCAGAGTCACTCTCCAACCTCACATGGACGTGGGCGGAGCACAACCACAAGTCAGGGGAGCACAGGGAGCTCCGGGAGCCCAGGGGAGGTGGGGGGGCTTCACTCGGGGGAATTAGGGCTCCTAAGAGAAACGGGGCCTTAAAGAACAGGCGGAGCTGGAGAGTGGGAGCAGAGAGGCAGGATGCCGGGCAGGGCAGGGCGGATAGTCCTGGGGGTGGGGTGGGGAGGGGCGGGAAAGTTCTGCAGAGCTCCCCCGTGAAATACAAGCTTTGAAAAGACATGAGATCACTCATCTAGGGGAAATAAGGAACAACATGAACCAATGAACAAACACAGACCCGGAGACAGGGAAACATCGATCAGACTGTCAGGCCTCAGAGGGAAGGTAGGGGAGGGTGGGTAAGGGGGAGAGATCAACCAAAGGACTTGTGTGCATGCATATGAGCCTAACCAGTGACCATGGACAACAGGGGGGTGGGGGCATGCGTGGGGAGGGGTTTGGGATGGGAATGGGGGGAGGGATGAGGACAAATATGTGATACCTTAATCAATCAAGAAATAAAAAAACAATAAAATTTATCAAGTGATTAAAAAAAAAAAAGACATGGGACGTGGCATTCAGTCCCTGCAGCGTAGTGAACGGCATTGCTGTGCCAGAGGAAAAGCTCCCCCAGCAGGGGGCGCTCTCCCCGCTCCCCGCAGCGGCCGGAGGTGGGAAGTACCTACCGCGCACAGAAGTGCTTTTCCTTGGAGCCCTTCAGGCAGAAGGTGTGGTCAAAGCCGCCCACGTGGAAGTCCTGCAGGTGCTTCCCCAGCGCCACCGGCTTCCGCAGGTCAAACGCGGTCCCTTGCACCGGGGCCACCTCTCCTGTGGGCAGAGGCGGGGGAAGGGGGGAAGTGCCCGTCACATGTGTGTGCCCGTGTCCTAAGGCACCCAGGCTCCCCCTCTCTGCCTGCATTTCTTTATTTTTATTTTATTTTATTGATTTTCCACAGAGGAAGGGAGAGGGATGGAGAGCTAGAAACGTCGATGAGAGAGAAACACCGACCAGCTGCCTCTTGCACACCTCCCACCGGGGATGTGCCCGCAACCAACGTACATGCCCTTGACGGGAATCGAACCTGGGACCTTTCAGTCCGCAGACCGACGAGCCCAACCTGTTTCGGCTTTGCCTTCATTGTGATTTGTAAAGGAGATGTGTGTGTGTGTGTGTGTGTGTGTGTGTGTGTGTGAGTCCAGATCCTTTGAAGGAGAATGAATTATTCGATTTTTAAAATTTCTAAGATGCTACCGATTGCCAAGGCAGTGGTCGTAACATCCAGAATCATTCGCACGTGGGAGAAATAAAAATGAGATGCATGATTTCCATTAGGAGCTAAGCTGGATCAGGGGTGATGATGGTTGGCCTAACCCCGCGGTGGGCAAACTGCGGCTCTAGAGCCACATGCGGCTCTTTGGCCCCTTGAGTGTGGCTCTTCCATAAAATACCACGGCCTGGGAGAGTCTGTTTGGAAGATGTGGCGTTAGAAGAAGTTTGAGTTTTAAAAAATTGGCTCTCCAAAGGAATTTCAATCGTCGTCCTGTTGGTATTGGGCTCTCTGGGCGAATGAGTTTGCCGACCGCTGTCCTAACCATTGAGTCAATCACTTGGTTGACATGTCTCGCTTTAGGGCTGAAATATCCCAGGGCTCATCACCAAGCATTAGCACCTGGCAGTGGCTAACCAGGCAGAGAGGGGTGATTCTCAACCCAGGGGGGCCTGGCGGCCTGCGGAGGTGGGTCAGGTGTCGCCCCTCTTCCCGATGAGTTTCACCTCCTCGCCCCGGAAGTGGTTCTGAGGGTCTGCGGGTGGAACCAGGGCCTGCAGCTCCAGGAGAGCCTGGCTCAGGCTCCTCCCCAAGGCCAGGGCGGCTTCCATGCGCCCTGAGTTTTGCCCATCCACCTTGGGGAGGCTTCAGCGCATCCTGGAGAGAATGTGGCCTCCACGCTGGTTTTGCAACTTTAAGAGACTCTCAGCGCCTCGTGCTTCTTCGCTGCAAGTTCTCAGAGACCCGCGCCCGCCATGGCCACAGCGTCTGGTCGAATGGAAGCCAGAGAGAGGTAGGGGCGGGAGGCCCGCAGGTGCGGGCTGGCCAGGCGGTTCACCGCAGCCTCCACCTCGCTGGAATAATTCTGATGAATCTGGGAGGTGATGGTTGTTGGGCAACAAGTGAAGGTAGAAAAGAAACCGGTGTGTTGGCTGGTCCCAGAGGTGGTTCAGAAGGTGGGGCCTGGATAAGGCAGTAGAGGGCGGCCGGAGGCTGGAAGAAGGGGCGTCCCTGGGTCCGTTCCGTCCACACGCAGTTGAAGCAAGAGACAGACCCAGGACCGCCGAGGACACTGTCTGATTTCCTTTTTGATCCAGGAATTATTAAGACTTAAAACACTTCTAGGTCGATATTGGCTGTGTTACTTACGTCCTGTGAAAACGCCTCGGGTTTCCTTTACGAGTAGATGTGCTCGTTTTCGTGTGACCCTCCATTGGGGCTGCATCCGTGATCATGACAAGGTGTCCTCTTCGATGCGATGTGATGCTTTCTGCCTCGAAACCAGCCTGTCCTGGCGTTGAGCTGGAGACCCTGCCCCTTGGGCTTTCTTGAAGTCTCATATTTCCGCCCTTCCTGTTCCCTCGGTTTGTACCAGCATCCCGCTGGGTTCTGCTCTGGGAGTCCATCTCGGAGACTTTGTTTAATAGGGGCATTCCATGGCATTAACATGACATAGACATGTTCTGAGTGTCCTTTGGTCTCTCCTTACATTTTGTGGCATGCTTTCTGTGTTTATGAATTCTAGTTATTCCTTTCTAAAAAAATCTTTTGCTAGGATCTGTTTGTGTTTCTGATCCGTTAGGGAGTGTGTACTTTTGTGTTAGTGGTTGCATCTGTCTATAAGGAACTTCAGTATAATATACTTAGTGTTGTTTCTTAGATTCTGCCTAGCCACTCCTTCCTCTCCCTTCCCCCTTCTCCTCTTTGCTGAGGAGGATTTCTGACGTTTTCAACTTTAAGCATTCTTTTTAAAAAATATTTTATTGATTTTTTACAGAGAGGAAGGGAGAGGGAGAGTTAGAAATATCGATGAGAGAGAAACATCAATCGGCTGCCTTCTGCACACACCCTACTGAAGATGTACCTGCAACCAAGGTACATGCCCTTGACAGGAATCGAACCTGGGACCCTTCAGTCCACAGGCCGATGCTCTATCCACTGAGCCAAACCGGTTAGGGCAACGTTAAGTATGCTTAACAAGGGCACTTTCCTTTCCAGCAGATGGTGCTAGAGACAGGACAGTAAGAGCTTTGTTTATAAAATAAACATGGGCCTCATTTGAGTTCAGATTCAGCCCTCTAACCCCTGACCTGTTCTGGGAGAATGAATTGTTGAACTTTTTGGATCTGTAAGGCCAAAAGCCAAATCTTGGCAGTGACTCCCCCCCCCCCCCCCCCAAGCGCTATTGTCCTGTGAAATCTGGGTGACCAACCACCTCCCAAAGTGACTTTAAAAAAAAGGCAACTCTGTTTCCTGATGAACCGATTAGGCTGGGAAAAAGAAGCAGCTGGCCGAAACCGGTTTGGCTCAGTGGATAAAGAGTCAGCCTGCAGATGAAGGGTCCCAGGTTCTATTCCGGTCAAGGGCATGTACCTTGGTTATGGGCACATCCCCAGTAGGGGGTATGCAAGAGGCAGCTGATCCATGATTCTCTCTCATTGATGTTTCTAACTCTCTGTCCCGCTCTCTCTTCCTCTCTGTAAAAAAAAGCAATTATATATATATATATATAATATATATATATATAATATATATATATATATATATATATATTTTTTTTTTTTTTAAAGAAACAGCTGTTCTCAGGGGCTCACGCAGGTTTTAAGGTTACCCACCCATATGCTGAGTGGGAACTTTCGGTATGCTTTCTTCCCTTATATGGTGTTCACAGTATTTGGTTCTTCCCTCAAGCTATACTTGTCTCAGAATCTAACCTTTCTGACAGTCCCCATGCGATTTGTCTAGGTCAGTCAAGATTATTTCTCTTGAGACTTGGAAAAAAGAAAGTCATGCAGTTTTCATCACATCAGGACCCAGGGCGGATTTCCAGTCTGTTGACATGCTCTTGAGCAATCTGCAAATCAGTGTTTATTTTACTCTCCTCTGTGTAAAAGGAAGCTGCTATTAGTCGCTGCTTTACACATTTCATGGGAGGAAATATTTGGCCACATCATGGCAAGGAAGCCCTGGTTTTAAAAATGAGAAACGTGGGAGATCATTCTAAAGTGAGGTTTGGCTAAATGAAAAGAAAACACGCAAAAAGGTTCCACTCTGTCTTTTCCAGCCTCAGGCCCGCACACACTCCCTCCTGTGCCTCATGGTTGGGTGCGTAGAAAATTTAGAATGTGTCCCCAGATTCACCCTGTCGTTGGGCCCTTTCTCATAAGCAGAGTGTCCTTTCCACGCTCTGGCAAAGTCCACGGGATCATGTATGCCTGTTCCTCAATGCCATTTCCTCTGTGAAGGGCTGCAGCATCCATAGTGAGAACTAATCCTCTTTTCTACTTTGTTCCCATCACGCTTTATTATTATCTTTACATATATTTTATTGATTTTTTTTTACAGAGTGGAAGGGAGAGGGATAGAGAGTTAGAAAGATCGATGAGAGAGAAGCATCCATCAGCTGCCTCCTGCACACACCCCCATTGGGGATGTGCCCGCAATCAAGATACATGCCCTTGACCGGAATCAAACCTGGGACCCTTCTATCCACAGGCCGACGCTCTATCCACTGAGCCAAACTGGTTAGGGCTCCCATCACACTTTAAACATACATTCCCCCCAAACATTCATCCCATCACGGCGTATTTACAGGGTTCTGTCAAGCTGTTTGTCTAAAAGGAATGTGAGTTCCTAGAGGGCCAGGGTGGTGTCCTATTTATCTCTGTTCTCCCCCCCTCCCCCCCCTCCTCCGGGCAAGAAGCAGACTCTTTCTAGATGGAAAAACTGATGACGACGATGAAAAAAAAAACAGGGGGGTAACTGTGAATGGTACCGTATCCTGTGACAAAGTCAGAATGAAAGATCTAGAAAGGACCTTAGGCATTACCTCGCCTCGTCCCTTAACTGGACAGAAGATGAGGCTGGGATCCAGACAGCTGAAGGGACTTGCCCAGGGTGACACATGCCCCTCCTCCAGCCCCGCCCCCGCCCCCGCCCCCGGAGCGGCCTGGAGAGAGCCCCTTCCACCCCACCCGCACCCCCAAGCGGCCTTGGTTTTTCTCACGGACGCGGCTCTAGCGTGGTGCTTTGGTGCTAAGAATAGAAGGAGATGTCAAAATAGCTCTCCGCAACGCTGAGTGTGGAGAGGGCGCGGCGGAAACGGAGAGGGTGCCCTTGTAGAGGGGGTCGCATCACCAGACTTTGGTTTTGAAGCCGCCAGGAAGCTGAGGTGTTGGCAGAGAGAGGCTGTGTTCAGAGAGAGGCTGTGTTCTGCAGGCTGGACCTGGTGTGCACTGAAGTCTGACAGCAATGCCCAGCGGACGGTTAGGGTTAGGGTTAGGGTTAGGGTTAGGGTTAGGGTTAGGGTTAAGTGGGCTCCGGCCCGAAGGTGTGGGTCTGGGGCACAGGCGCCCCCTGAGGAGGCATGTCTGCTTCCCCAGTTCAGGAAAAGGCTAACTGTGGGCACCATTAAGGACCCAACTGAGGTTACTGTCAGGGATTCAGAGTGAGACCACCAGTAGCTGCCTATGGGCACATGTGGAGGGCGAGCAGGGGGTGTGTGAGGGGGGCGGGTATTAGCCAGAGTTGAGTGTTGTTAGTAGAATACAAAGAAGAGGA